TTGATCTACTTCTATTACTAATTTAAGATAAAGTAAAACTATTAAAACTAAAGAAACATTGTAAACCTCATTAACTTGGTTAACTTCATTAACTAATTTAACAAATAAACATAAAAAACTAAATAAACTTAAACAACTATATAAACTTAGTTAACAACGTTATCATCGTTTCAGGTTTCGGTCATTTTGATCGTTGGGCTGCAGCTTAAGAAATTACGGCTTTCTTTAGTAGTGATCTGTAGAATTATAATAGCAATCACACTTTTCGAATTATCTCCGCTCCTATTGGTCCAATAACCCTATATGTATATTCGTTGGAATGCTCTCGATGAGACGGTTCTAATGATTGTATTTCCATCGAAATGTAATCATTAGGTCGAAAGTTATTTCATTTAACAATATGTTTGAGAAAAAGTAATATGACTTGATGCATTGTTAGAGCTTACCGATTTTCTATTCGAATAATATTCAAATTATTCGGATTAACAAACCCTATTTGAATATTTACTGAATAACTAATATTTAATGAATAAAATCAATTTATTCGAATATTGAATAAAATAATCTTATTCAAATAACTTTTTATTCGCTGAATAAAAATACATATAAATTACTCATCGAATAAATTTTATTTGCCGAATAATAAATTATTTGAATTTATAAACTTGAATCTTTTTTATTTATTTAAAACAGTTTATTTATTTTATACGACTAACTGATCAAAAAATAAGACTATAACCAACATTACCTAATATTATGTAAATCACTAAAAGCTAAGTAAAAATAAAACTTTTTTGCATCCAGAAGTTTTTTTCAATTACTTATTTGTCTTTTAGTTTGAATATGTCAAATAACTTCATATTACATTTTAGAAATAATATGGATCCCAACAACTCGGGTTTTAAACAAGTACGACATGAAGATAAATGAAGACCAGCATCAGAAAATAGTCTTTCACTTGATATAAATGTAGCGAGAATCAACAAATATTTCATTACCAATCGGGATAAAATTGGAAATATATTAGTTCGAACTTTTCACTATTCTAATGGATCACACCCTTGCACTTCTTTAGATAAAATTAAATACTGAGCCACTTCATCAGACATAACACTATCATCATCATCAGAATCTTCATATTTTCCAAGCAATAAATAATTAATTTGATAAGGATTTCGGTTAATATTTGGTGATTTATTTAATGTTGGTAATTCAGGTGAATTAGGTGAATTAGATGAATCATCAGATAGATTTTCTGCAATAGCAGCTTGTTCAGCTTGATATAATTGTTTAAGCTTATCAATAGTTGTATTACATTGTGTTTTAGTAACAAATTTGAGTTTTTTGAACTGAGGATCCAATAAAGCTGCAAGTAGTGTAACTTCTATTGGTACATCCCAATATTGATACATGCTTAAATATATGGTGACTTTAACCCATTCTATAATACTAGTAACATTAACTGGTGATTCAATAACCCAACATTTTTTAAATCATAAATTAACATTATCATGAATAATCTGTTAGCTACTATTATTACAGCTTACATTATGTCTTCATTTACGACCATGTGATATAATAAGAGGTTGATTGATACGAACTGCTGGTTCAACAATTCTTTCATTATCTGAAATTATTTCATGATCTTGTTCAGCTTCTTCAAGTTCTCCATATAATAAAGTTGCATAGTAATTTTTATCACGACCTTCTGGTGGAACAACTTTTTTTTTGAGATAACACATTGTATAATAAACCATGTTTAATGTAACATATGAAGCACTTAATAATATTTTAGTTGCCTCATAAAAAGGTTCCAGTAAAGTTAACATATCGGAAAGAAAACTATAATAGATAAAGGTAATAATTAATCAATTATTTAATATAATAGAATTATTCATGAATAATAAAAATTACCTCTATTCAGATTTAGTTAAATTAACTTATTCTAAATAATCCCCATCATCCTTATCATCTTTATCTGATGATAATTTTAAAATAGTAATCAAATAAAGGATTACGCGTTTTAATTCAAATGGACGACTCCATACAAGGAAAGTAGAATTCCACCTAGTTTTAACATCAAGTAGAATTTTATACACCTTTGAGTAATTTAATTTTCGTTGAGCATCTCTAAAATTTTCTGTTTGTTTAGAACTACCTCTAAAATATAAAATAAGATTTGTGACCTGCTTTTTAAATATTTCAGCAACGTCAATACCTTTAATTACACTAAGATGAAGAGTATGAGCACAATATGGTACATGTGAGATTCCTATCAATCAAATGGCTTTTACAATATTAGAACCATTATCTGTAGTAGCAATGAATAGTTTTTGTTCAAGTTGAAATTGTCTGATTATTTGTTCTATAGTATCACGAATGTTTTCACCAGTATGTTTTCCATTAATTTTTTCACAAGCTAATAAAGCTTCTTTAAGGGTCCAAGCGATAGGATCTAACTAAGGATGGTACTGCAATTGTTTTTCAAATCTGCAATATTGCGGATTTTTGAATTGAATTACGCATAGTAATCCGCAATTCCGCAATTCAAATCACG